ACTCTAAATATGCAGCGAGCCGAAAGTCCTCTCATGTTGCTGGTAGGGAAAGAGGGGGAGACTCTCGGACTCGTCTCTCCCGGGGTGCTCTCCATCAAAACTGGGGGCGGAACTGAGCAAAGTCGTAATGTCACCTGGATGGTGATCAAGGCTCTTGTCAACAACAAGCGTAATCTTGAACTCCTTGCCACGATGAATATCGTGGGCTTGTTCTGATGTTACGTCAGACAAGTGATAAGTCAGACTACCAACATATTAAAATTATCGGCTTCAGTAGCGCAGTGAGATAGTACTAGCCAAAAAAGGAAGATAGCCTAAGTTCGATTCAGTTCGAACAAATCTTTTCACTCCTAAGAACAATTGATAACATAAACGAGAAAAAAAAAAAAAAAAAAAAGAGTGCTCGCGATTAGATCTCATTATATGACAGAAAACTTTGGCAATTAAATCATAATTCTCTAGATTTGTTTAAAATTTTCCGTTTTACATTGTAGCTGAATATGAGAAATCATTCAAAATATTGAAATAACAAGTTGTAACTTTAAAATTTTTAGGTAAAAAAGAATGATTATTTAAATTACAGCTTCGCTCTAGTTGATTTCGTTGTTAAATAGCTGAAGAAGTAGAAAAATTCCCAAGGACGATAATCTAAACACTTTTTACCGGCCGGAGTTCCCAATTCGGAATTCTTCTGGAATTATGGCCGAACCTGTTAGCCGTCTCATTAGCGAGAACTTGCTCTGGGTGCATCACTGGAGGCGATTGAAATTACGTCCGCAGGGAAGAGGAAAGACTAGTCCAGCCTTACTTGGTAACTGAAACCGCACCCTCGGCTTCGAGGTAACTGTCAGCCTCCGCTAATACCATAACATTTGGAAAGCCGTAAACTAAACAACTGTTAGAATTTAACAATTATTTAGTTGGTGTAAACTGATTCAAATATTCAGCCTAATGAGTATCACAAAATATTCTTTAACTATGTTCATTTTAAAAAAGCGAACATATCCGTTAAACTTGAATTAGTTGCAGAAACATTCTCTGAAATAATGTTTATTTAGTTTCTCCTAAATGAAAGCAAGAGAAATTAGATTTAATGCCGAACAAACAAAGATATTTTTTGGAACGATAAAGCAATGAATTCTGCTTTTTTCTTTTAATAATTACTGCAATTTTTTTTTCAGATTCAGATATTTATTTTCTCTCTATATTTTCTTATATAAGTATTTACTTATTAAGCGCACTCGATTGAGAAATAGATCATGCAGAGTCTGGATTATACTTCATCTTCAGAAAGACCCAAGTAATACTTTAGGGAAGGGAAAGTTAATTTAGGCGATCCTTTTTGAAGCTAATAACGTTAATGAGATGTAATCTTATTCATAAACAAAGAAATATAGATAGATTAATCTTTTTTTCAATTCTAACAAAACATTATTTAATATGAAATAAAAATAATTAGATTATTATAAAAAAAGTGCAACATTTCACTATAGCTTAGATGATCAACTCTGAAAGTGACCACCATTTATGAAAGCATATAGACATGCAGGGAGTACAGGCACTGAAAATCACCAATAGGTTTATCTCTAATTTATCTGATATGGTTAAAGACTTATAATTAAACACGAAAAAGAAATTAAAATTTAAAATAATTTAATTGCTTCAAAAGAGCATAAATATTCTCAGAAAGGGCTATCTTTCAAGCCATATACGTAAAAATTGCAAATGTATTTTAACTTTTGATAGGCCTACTAATTTTACAGTCTTTCTTTTGCAATAAATTTTCTAAAAATAAAATTAATTTATTTTAATGGTTTCGTGTAAAATGAGAATTTTATGCCTGAAATGAATTATTTTTTTAAACTTCAGGAAATCAATATCTTTTTTAACAGAATACATAAAATCATAAAATAAAGCTTTATGAATAGAAATCGATATCTTTATCAATAAAATACATAAAATCATATTATACATATTTTTGATGCGAATTAAATAGAAATGCCTAAAATTTTAAATGTATCAACAATTAAGTTAGTAACTCTCTGCTAACGTGTAAATATTATATTCGCGATAACAGTATATTTAGTTGGATAAAAGAGATTGAAATTTTTCATTTCGGTTACAGTCTATCGTTTTTGAACAAAATTTTCAAATAAACGATGCAGTTCAAGTCCTAAATTCGTAGATTTGAAATACAGCCCTGAAAAATACTAATAAAGTGTTTTGAAAATTTGATTAATGACTTAACTCAATAGAAAGCGAACAAAAGTAGTCATGGACAGCAACCTTAAATGAAACTTTTCAGAGTCATACAAGTTGCTTGTGGCATAAAGAAGATAATTATAAAATAACTGTTGCTGTTATGAGTAATTCTAAGTAGGATATGCCACGAGAAAATAATAAGCTGTTATTAGAAGTGATTTCATTTTTTAGGAGTACAACGCAAGAGCAGAATTGAATGTAACCAAAAGTAGCGATGTTTTTAAACTGAAACACTGAAATTAGTTTTAAAGGAATAGCTTAAAGTAATTAATCGCAGCTTTTTAAAAAAAACTCAACATGTCGCAGAACATGTAAAAATCCATCTTTTAAAAACATTTAAAATTTAAGATATTGATTTCTCTTTATGCTCATGAATACAAATTCTGAATTAAAAATAATTACACACAGAAGCAGTATGATTATCTGTTTTCACAGGAAAAAGTCATTTTACAGTCAAAGTGCAGCTTTTTTTCGAAATGCATAGGTACATCGGTACGATTTATTTCAGCTGACAAGTTATTTTTTATGTTAATTCTTTCCTTTCTCTATTCGGTCAGCCATGGCCAGAATGCAAATTAAATTGAGTTTAAACGGCGAAAGTTTCAGTGGCAACTGACCAGAAAGCATTTTATACCACGTGACGTCCATATACCGATTTGAATTTTGTGAGTGATTTTACAAATGGCTTAGGCTGGAAGCCGCGTAAGCTGAAGCCGGGTTGGTTAGGCACTGAAATTATTTTCTGCTTATCAAGTCTTTAAACTTCGAAGTTCCTCAAGTAGCGCTGGTTAGGCTTTATTAAACTTTAATTGTACTATAAAACAAGTCTTTTTAATAAAACTTTTAGATAAGTTTTTAACCTGTTAACTGAGTTCTTTGAACTTGGATTATTTAATAAAATGCGAAGACGAGAATAAATGCAGCATAAGAAGATCTAGTTTACAGTTAATCAGATTTAACCTTACACATCTATTATTCATGCTCATGAAAGTAAACCTTGTTTTCAATAACCAGAAAATGCATCAAAACAGATAAACAAGCGGCAAAACATACTTAATTTCCTTTTACATAAATTATGATTTTATGTACTGTTTTCCAGCATGGCTATTTGTAGTGGAATGGATAAAAATATTTCAGCGTTTGTAATTTCATGTCGGATTTTATTTCCTACAGCATGAATTGTTTGTAGTTTTCTCGTATTTAATTTCACACAGGCGTTCAAAATTCCACTCAGAAGACAAGTAACCGGATGGTTTCGCACTGGTAATTCAGAGATTTTGGCGCTTTGATTCTTTCATTTGATATCAACACTAGATTTGATATTCTGTTATTTTATATCGTTAGTTTAACCGATAAAAAGTTCAGCCATATATTACGAAATTCTGCTACAGTATTTCGTCGCCATGACTTCCTCCTCACTTATTTTTTAACATGTTATTTACGAAGAATTTTTTCCCTGTGCATATGCCTCATGATGAAGTTAGCAACAATAAATCCGAAAATTAAATGAAATCTGAATGCAGTTTAATAATACACAATATCTCGCAAGACTTAATAATTAAATTACATTTTTAAATTTGTCTGCAAATTTCAAAATTCTGAAAAAAAAAAAGAAATATTTTTTCAAGTAAATACTTGTTACTGAATAGGTAATAAATCAATAAAGATTCAATTGCCTTTTTTTAAATTGAACACCTTTTTAAACAAAATTTAAAATAAAAGTTATAATCATATATTAAATGTATATGTATTGAGCTTTTAGTCGTTCACAAAACAGAAAAATAATATACAAGAAAGAAAAATGTATAGATTTATATAGTTTATTTGTCCTCGCGCATAATATAAATTGAGGAACAAAAAATTAATCTTACAATGCAAAAATCACGAAATATATACTACACGTTAAATTGGAAAACTGCTCTGCGTATCATTTGCAATATACTTTATGAAATCATTTCTCCTTAGTCAGCCAATTGCTGGCAGCGGGCAAAATGGAACTGAACTCAACAGATCGACTGGAAGATGAATTATTCCACTCAACATGTCGCAGATAATAAAAATAGTTACAAATATTGCAAAATTAATTAAATATTAATTTTTAGATGAAGAAAACTTCAGTACAAAAGGGAGTAACCTAAGTTTGCATAGCATTTTTATTTCACGGCTTTTCATAGAAATATAATTTGCAAGTAGTAACTCCACGGTATAGTCCTAGATGGTTATACGTATAATACCAACATTCCTACGCACTAGACAACTGCTTCTGAGTTCCTATTACCTTTCTTCGCAATTATAAAAGAGGAAAGCAAGTACAGAAACAGGTAGGATGAGTAGTATAACACTCATTTGCACTAGTATATCGACAGTTTTCGGTTCAAACTCCAGTCTAAAATTTTACATCCTATCCTATTAGAAACTTCATGCCAGTGAAAAGAATTATTCTTAAATTTATTTGCACTCTTCAATTTCTTGCGCACGCTTATTGAAGCAGAAATATTAGAAATGCAAAATTTACCAAATTTAACATAAAATGGAAAAGCTAAGTACATCTATACTTTTATTTCTGCTAAATTTGAATAAAAGAACATTTTCAAGAAAATTAGTCAGATACATAATTTTATTCATTGACTTGTTTTCCAATTTATTCAAATTTCGAGAATCAGTTAGTATATATTTTATCAATTAGATTATTATTTAATTGGAAAATATTTATGGGAAAAGAAATAAAATTAACTTACCAAAATATAAAGGTGATTCTCTAGTTGCAACGTTGTCATCAATGTACGGTATGCCTAAAGTATACACTGCAGTAGCTCCAATGCCAATAAATAAAAGACTAGCAAAGAAAATAGATAAAACAGTGTGTCTAATCCGTGTTTGATGAGCTGTATTGTCAGGAGAATCACAACGCGACGCTATGCGGCCTTTATAAAAGTGTTTTTTAGAGACATGGACTAACTCCTCTACATCTGTTGTGTTTCCTATTGACTTCGGACCAGCAGTAGTTGGTATATCTCGAGGAGCAATTATCTTAGATGGCTCTGAGCTCAACAATTTTGTTGAAAACGAAGCATTACCTTTCGTATAATTCCTCATGTCGTGGCACAATCTTGCGTTTAATTCACGCAATTTATACGTTGAAGCATTCGGATGATCGTTGTCAAAATATTTACTAGAAACGTCCTCTCCAGTACCAAAAATAAAGTGTGGTGTGGAACATAATATAGAAGCGACAGCAAACACAAACATTCCGCAAGAAATCCACTGTGGCCGATGGCCTTGGCCACCATAATATGTTAATAATAGAGCACCACCAATCTGTCCAATTTCAGTAGCAGACATTATAATACCCGTAGTCTTACTCTGAATTTGGAATAATTTCTCTATGGTAGTCAACACACTGACAAAATATGTATAATACATGCCTTGTAGAACGCTAGTCAAGCAAAATACAGCTAAGAATGCCTTTTTGTTGGCAAAAGGTTGCAGCCACCTTGGTCTGAACGAAAAAATGCCGCAAGTGCTGCTTTCTGCTACTTCAGCCTCTACAGGACTTACTGCTCTGGCATTGGGATCGCCATCAATATGGCCATTAACGATCGCTCTGACTCCATGCCCATTCACATGACATCCATTACCGTTAGCGGACGCACCAGTATTTTTATCAGCAAGCGGTGTCCAGACATCCTCCGCCTCTACGCCGTTTGTAATCGATGGCTCAACCATCGCTTTCGAAAAGTTCTGTAAAAGTAAAAAGAAGATCCGTAAATATCGACTCTCCAAAAAGTGATATTTTTACACAAATAATAATCTTTCAGAAATAATATCAGAAATTAAAGCAAAATTAATGACTTCAACATTTACTTTAGCAAAACTTATATTGCTTATTAGTATATAAGGAAATTTGCGCAAAACTACACTTATATATTAACAACAATACTTTTAATAATATTAAAGAATTTCAAATTTTTCATTTTAAACAACAACCTAGAAAAAGTAGAAATGCGATGCTTTTTTTATAAATTAACTTCAATTTTGAAATCTGCGAAGTCACTTACTGAGAAATCAGAAGAAAAAAGATGAAATTTATAGATTCCACAAATTAATATCTCCTCAATTTCTAGATAGATGTGACTAACAAGATGTTTTATTATATATTGACTTGAGATATCTTATTAAACTACACATATTTGATATATCGAGGTGGCTATAACACAAGCTTTACATATGAGATCACCGGGAATGAGTCTAAATATCTTTAAATTTTGTGTACAGCTTTGATTCATTTAATTTTTGACCATTTATTATACAGCTTATATAATTTCAAATGATGTGCAAACATTTAACTGAATGAAACAGTCTGATATCATAAACTGATAGAATAAAATTAATGATACTCAGTTCAAGAAAATTTTTCATCACTGAATATCGGAACAAAATATTTGTCAACGTATACGGAAAAGGAAAAAACATATCATTATAATCTCGTACGCATAGTTCGGAGAATTATTACTTAAAAAAAGAACTCTCTAATGCCCAGATATCAGAATTCTCTTCGGGTCGAGCAACACACTAACCTCATATTTAATCGAAAGAATATGATGTATTTGATCGGAAATTTGATATAAAGATAAGTCAAGTAGACCGCTGAAAGAAGTAAGGAGACATTAAAAAATAACGGCCACACATTGTATAATAGGATAATTTGCTCGTACATTCTGCACGAGCACCGTAGATGCCACTGACTTCCAGAAGCCTTCATACCACAACACGTTTGCTATCTTACATTATGCAAATAGTCTGTATCATTGCTTTTAAACGATTTTTTTTTTACAGAATTTTGTTGTGGTACGTGACTATGCAAGACAGCGAATCTTACAGAAATAAGGAAAATAAGCTTCAAAATGCAAGTAAATAAAGGACATCTAAAAATACAATGCAATATTTACATAACAGATCATAAGAATGATTAACGTGCATAATAAGAAAAGATTGTTCAAAGACTAATGAAGGCATACTAGATCCTTGCTGTTGAGTTCAATAATTGAGAGAAAGCAGAAGTCTCAAGTAACCATGCTCAGTCTGTGAATATTTCTAACATTTCATGAAATAAATAAATAAATAAGTAAACAAAATTTCTGCACTGGCATGTAATATATAGCGTTGAAAACATCCTATTAATTAAAGTTGCAAATGTTCATACAGTTGTTTATATTAAAAAGTAAATAAAGTAAATTTTTAATGTACATCAGTTACATATGTTACTAATAAGTAAAATATATTATTAGAAAGTGTCTTTATTGGTTTAAAATCATTCGGTTTGTTGGGTAGTTTCAGACCAATTAAGTTAAAAATCTTTTGTTGAAGGCATTCTGAGAAATGGCCAGGCGCGAGGCTGTGTGCAAGATAAATACCTTACGTTTCGGTCAGAGTTAACCCTTGCCGAGGTAAATGGATAAGTAGATAATAATGAATAAGTGGTAAGAAGAGGTAAGTAATTTTTAAAATTAAATTATGATCCTATATTATCAAATATTCCACATTGTGTTGTTTACCTATCTTACGTAACTTCTGCTTGTATGCTGTTTCTCACTCCCACTTCAGTCCTGCATATGAAATCATACAAAATTTGCAGTCGTCACGTCAAAATAAATAAAGCTACAAAATTATAATTTCAAATGATTAACCGATTAATGCTAATTTTGTAGGAAAACTGCACTGAGCTGTTTTGAGAAATTATTCACATACGTAAAATTTTAAATAATTTAAAATGGTCGTCTTTTATTATAATGTGTACTGAAAGAAAATTAAGAAGTTAATACTCTAGAAAAATATTATAAGTTTTAATGAAGATTTAATACACAGCATATTAATTCCTAAAACAGCACTGAAATATATTGCAAGACAAAATAACTATTTTAATTATATGTAGTAAATGGATTAAATTAAGGAATGAGAATGTATGTGACTGAAGAATTTTAAAACATATATTAGATACATAATATCTCAGTTTTATGGAAAAGTTGCCACAATCTTTCATGAAAATAACTTTTTAAAGATCTTAACTTTTTAAATGTTTTACTTTCTCTAACAATATTCGATTCCTAGTTCTAATGAGTCTAACTTACTTTCTATGACATCTCGCTTGAAATATTCCTTTATCGCACTATTTTCTGCAAGCTTAAGAATAAAGAAATTGTTGTTCTAATGTCGTTCAACAAGAAATTTTTGTTAATATGTGTCACGGTGAAAAATTGTGATAAATCTTTTATACTTCATTGAAACTAGCGTCTCATGCAAACTAGTATTATTACATTTATTAAACGTAACGTGAGTTTAATTTGTACTTTATTTCCAATAGATCTTCGCCCCAGTTTCCTGTGCTATATCAATGCCCATAAATGAAAAACACCGGTTGCAGTTTCTAACTATTTTAGGATGTTGCAACATATTTCTTTCCCTTTTTATCAGTTGTTTTAAAATTATATTTGAATTTTATTAATATATTTTTTCTACGAATAAATGTAATACATTAAGCTTAGTTTTTGATTTAATTAAATTTCCATTTGCCAGCTGCGAACATTTTGTTATTTCGCCGTTTAATAATTTATATTACTTCAGTAATTTATATATTACTGTTTTCCTCCTTCCTTAGTTCATTAATAATTTAGACCAGCGTTTCTCAATCAGTGGTTCGCAGACCACAAGTGGTTCTCAAAGCTTGCTCTTGTGGTCCTTCAAAATTTCCGAAAAATACAAAATACAAAATTTAAATTAACTGAATATATCACATTACAGATGAAAACCTTCGAGTTTGGAAATTACATGACAGTCGTCTATCACCTTCTTCTCCCAAGGCTGACACTTTATGAAATTTATTACTTGTTATTCTATGTTTGGACTTCCACGCTAGTCTTTGGAACAAAATAAAGATTGAGAGCATTATGATTGTGGCGCTTCTCGTCATCTTTTAAATGCACATATGGTGCTGCTGAGCTCATTACCAATGAAACGGAATAAAGTGACTGTTCAATCGTGCTTTAAAAATAATTAAGTTTGCTTCTACCTTTCCGTATGTGAAACGGTTTTCATTACTAATTCAAATCAAAACAAAGCACTGAAATCGACTTCATGTATGTGCCGATCTCAGACTTAAGCACACCAGCACACATCCTAAATACATAACAGCTGCGAAAGAATCGGCAGGCTCATCCATCTCATTAATATGAATAATAACATTTATTTAATTTTTAGTTAATAAGACAAAGATTATCCAAATTCTATTTGTTTTGAATTATCAAAAAACGAATATAAATTTTCTTCAATCAACTTAATCCATACAAAACTAAATGAATTTTAATTAATTGTATTTCTAAAATATAAATATTCTGATACTAACATATGCTAAAAAAATTTGTTTCCAAAAGAGCGAGAATATGGTCTGCAGATCATTCCAGTTTATGAAAGAGATAAGTTTGAAAGATAACTATTGAAAGCTCGTTTATACCTAAAAAATACACCACTAAATGTAAAGCTCTGTTTGTAAACTCGAAATGAAAGCAAAAACGAGTTTATTATTAGCATTTTTAGTAGTAGTACTGAATAAATTTTCATCAATTGTTTTCGATAGATTTACAGACATTTCCCCTTAAAACCCCACTTATACAATAAATCATCTAAATTCGAAATGTCCTATAAAGAAATTATTACAACTTTTAATGAAAATTTCGAATCGGTTATAAATCCGTTGTCCCTTTACTGCATCATTTCTTGATCGGTATTCTGACAAAACGAATGTTCACTGCAGCTAACCGACACTTTCTTTTTATTTTTTTTCCCTCTGGGTGTCTATCACTGCATAGAGCGATGCGATGTGGAAATACGCCTCCCTTGATGAACTAACATATATTAGTAGCCATCAGGAAATAAAAAAATGTCCTCGGGAATAACAACGCGATGGCGGAAACGATGACGTCACACATCTGATGAAAAGGCATTGCTGTTATTAAGGTAGCTACATTTATAAATAGCTCCTAACACGCGAGGCTGGAAAGAAATTGCTGGAATTTGAGGCGGGCTATGTCTATGAAATACGTAAGGACAAGTTGCTCCGCTCGGCGGATAGCACCACCGTTTCTCTCGAATTGGTTGCGGAAACCATTGTAAACTTTCAATTTCGATTCTTAAACACTACTAGAATGAACAATTTGAACTACTATAAAACTGTTAAAATATATTTAAAACCTTTATATAAAAAATGTATTTAATCGATTACAAAAAAGCAAAATATATCATTTTCTTTTTTCCGCTCTTTAACAGAATGCCAAAAAATTTTAAAACTTGCTTCGTAATTAATTTATGTAAATAAAAATTCGTTGTATTTATAAGTGCTATTGTTCAAAAACAAATTTTTATCGTGATGAAAGCATATGGTGTTCAGAGGTATATGTACAAAAGTTTTTGCTTATATGGAGTCCTGAACTGCTATGAAACTATATTTAAAAAAAAAAAAAAATTAACTAGAGTACACATGATAAAATGCATTTACTTTACTTTTATTTGTAACAGGGATTCTGAATTTGTGTATGAATTCCTTAAAGATTATGAACCAGAACATTTAAGGACAAGCAAAAACAATTAAAAATATTGAGGAAAAAGACACATATATCAGCTGCGTAATACAAATTAATCAAACGGACTGAAATTATTTAGATTTTATGAGCAGGGCGGAGAACTATTCT